TTTTGAGCCGGGGGGGAGGGCCACGGAAAAAAAATTTTACCGGACCATTTTGCACCAGCCCTCCCCCCCCGGTAAATATCGTACAGTCCCTAACCATGTTCAAATGCAACAACACACTAATTTGATTAGCTGGCTTTTGGATTCGAAAGGAAAAAAAATGAAGCAACGAGGGGAAAATTGTATGATAGCCCCAATTTTAGGAAACATGAAGTCAACATACCAGGCTGGTTTGTAATTCAAACAATGAATTTTTAACTCTTAATCAAACCACTATGCTGGAAAAACTAACAACTAGGAAGACAAGGACTAAAAATATTCAACTGTTGGGACCAAAATATGAGCATTTTGGATTTGATTCAGAACCTGATTTTTTTTTTCCACAAAAATATGAAGCGGGCGAATTTATTAAATTGGTAATGTCTATGTAAATTTAATGTCAATCTTTGAGGCAACATGCACTGTAGTTCCAAAGTATTGAATTCCATTTATGATTGATTCTTCCATTTACCTCAAATTCTGACCACCCTTGGACATGAAAGCTTTCTATGCTAGCTATGGTTTGCACGCACAATAGCACATCCATACAAATGCCATCTGTTACACTTGAGTGATAAATTTTGCATGAATGTCTATTTGCGTATGTCCTTGGATTTCATAGCTGGTTTCACAATGATTACTAAAAATCTTATTATTGCCTTGCCTGAATAGGCAGGCTGCCATTAGCAGATATGTGAAGGAGAAGTGCTTTATGTATACACACATTGTAACTGACTTGTATTCTTACACCAATTTTATTTGTTGGTTCTCGGATTCGCCTCTTCATTTTTTTCTGATTTACCAAAAAAAAAAGATTCTGGTTCTAAATGAACTAAAAAATGATCATATTTTGCTCCCAACGGTTCAGGAAAGTCCTTCCTACAGTTTTTCCATTTAGTATCAATGCAGTGGTTTGATTAAAAGTTCAAAATTCAATATTCAAATATTAACCCAGCCTTTAAAATGTGCTGACTTTATGGCTCCTATTGTAGCATCTAGACCTGTTTTTTTCGCCCTGTTGCTTCATATTTTTTATGAAAAAAATCTGAGAACCCACAAATTAAATTGGTGTGGCCTAAACACTTTCTGCTCAAGTGCTATGCATTATGGGTGTTGCACAGGCGTAGTATGTTATGCCAACGTGCTGTGAGAAAAATGCTGTACACTAACAATTCTTCTTTTCTACTTCTTGGTTGCAGAATTCTCAACAAGCTCACCCCCGACAGGTTTGACAAGTTGTTTTTGGAACTCCTGAATGTGGGGATAGAGAACAAGCTAATTCTTAAGGGTATAATACTTCTGGTAAGTCCTGAAAAATCTGCATTTTTATGATATACAAAAACAACTGCACATTCCAATAAGCCGTAGCTTATTATTAATTATTAAGCCCACAATGTCCAGAAAAATAGGAAAGTTGCTACCCATATTTCAGTAGACTTGTTAAGCTGTGGTCACATACATTGTACTATGTATATATACAGTGATTTTTTTCTGCCATGATATGTCATATGGTTGACAACGAAAATACATTGTATTTTGATTTTCAACCCATTTCTTTTAAAATTTGCTATATATTTTCCAATCACTGCAGAAAACTTGTAGGTGCATTGTATAATTTAGGTGGAAACAAAACGTGATACAATCACCTTTACAGGTGTCCCTTGCATACTGTGTGAAGTGTGGTAGAAAGCATCTTAAACCCCATGTATAACCTCTTCACTGTTTGTTCCACAGGTATTCGAAAAAGCCATAGATGAGCCCAAATACTGTTCTATGTATGCACAGCTCTGTCGTAGACTATGTGACGACGCGCCCAACTTTGACGATCCAAACAAGTCAGGAACTACAGTGAGTCCTTTCAACTACATGATGTTAAAATCTGGAAACATTTGTAAAGCAAATTAATATTATTTTAATGTTCACCTTCCCATGGTTTAGCCTAACAAATTGTATATTGTTCTGTTTATTCTTACTCAAACACATTCATATGTGGCCACTCCTCTTCAACTCTGTTCTGCAACTTGCTACATAATGTAATCCAACACCACAAGGTGTCCTCTACATATAACATCAGTTACCATGGCGACAGACATCTGGTCCGGGTCATTGACCTTTCTTATTTGGGAGAAATTAAACAGTGCAAAAAATGTTGTTGTTTTTTCTCTCTGTTAGGAAGTGCCTTGGTTTGTTTATTTCAGCAAAGCTCACACTTGAAATGTTTTCTCCTTTCCCAGACCTTTCGCCGGTTGTTACTGAATAAGTGCCAGGATGAGTTTGAGAACAGATCCAAGACTTTTGCTGGTAGGTAATCTAAGATTTGCAATGTTGCAATCATATTGTTGTGTTTTTTTTCCAAAGTCAGGGGTCGAAATGCCTCTTCATATGCAAGTTTGTGCATGTAAATTTGGTGCTGTGCAACTAATTTTTGCCAAGTAAGCTTTATCTGCTGTTACTGCCGGTAGAAATATTCAATAAAGAACTGAAAAGGTAACAATACCCAGTAGTGCTGGTTTACAGAAACTAGCCTGAAGATTTTTCTTATTTGCTTTAAAAGGTTTTGTTTTGAATCACTTGCTTTGGTCATTATCAAGACTACACAGTGGATACTATAGTTACTACATGTACATGTACTTTAAATTTGGTTATGTAACTATTATTTTTGGGGAGTGCAAGTATTTTTGTTTTGGTACAAGTATTTTTTTTTCATCTGCACTAGTGCAAGTTGACCACAAAATGTATTCTGACCCCTGGAAGTATTTTGGTGACAGCATATTATGTTTTGTAAGATCTTGCTGCACGTTTCTAACCTTAATGCCTTTGATTTGTCCTTGATTTAGCTTTTGACAGGGACGATGGCCCTCTCACCCCTGAACAGAATGAACAGAAGATGGTGGCCAAGCGCAAGATGCTTGGTAACATCCGGTTCATCGGTCAGTACACTCAGATTTTCTATTTTAGCTAATGTTGTCTTGTTGTCCTACTGAAGTAGCCATATGATCTTTATTGTGCTAATTATGAGTTATGTCACAAATAGATTTCTAACAAAGCTTTATGTCTACAAAATATCTTGCTTGTTGGTAGTATTTTAGCATTGCCTCAAATTGTTGTGCAGTTTTCAATACTTAGGCCACACCAATTTAATTTGTTGGTTCTTGGATTCGCCTCTTCGTTTTTTTCTGATTTGCAAAAAAAAAAAATTTGATTCTGGTCCTGAATCAACTGAAAAATGCTCATGTTTTGCCCCCAACAGTTGAGGAAAGTCCTTTTCTTCCTAGTTGTTACAGTTTTCCCATCTATCATTGCAGTGGTTTGATTAAAAGTTCAAAATTCAATGTTTAAATTTTAACCCAGCCTTTTGTGTTGACTTAATGGCTCATTCCATAGCATTTAAGCCTATAATAGGATGCCTAGACCTGTTTTTATTTTTATTTTTTTTTGCCCTGTCGCTTCATATTTTTTCTGAAAAAATCCGAGAACCAACAAATTAAATTGGTGTGGCCTTACAGATATTTCTTCATCAGAGATAATTTGATCCAAGGTAATTTTTTCTCTCCACAGGTGAACTGGGAAAGCTTGACATGCTTTCCGAAGCCATTCTACATAAATGCATTAAACAGGTACTGCTCTCTATTTCTATATTGTAATTGTTTAATATAGTTATAAAAGTTGGCTATTCCATGTTGAATCACCACAATTCATGTTGGAAAGAATCCAAAGTATGAATAATTATAAATAAGTGCTGGAAAATTAATTTTGCTAAAATGAGTATGTAAGAGTAGAATAAAGCATAGAAGTTTTGAAGTGTGTAAGTGAAGGTACGTATGTCATACACAACCAAAAGAACAATATTTTACAATGGATGTTGACAATCTACAAAAACTTCCCAATGCACGAAATCACTAGATGATCCTAGATGTGAAAGTCTATCTTTCACGGCAGCTTCTGGAGAAGAAGAGGACGGAGTCTGTGGGGGACCGAGCCGAGGACCTGGAGTGCCTCTGTCAGATAATGCGCACCTGTGGGCGTCGCCTTGATCATGACAAAGCAAAGGTAAGGGTCATTGTACAACAACTACAGTTCTTTTTATTTTATTCACATGGATTATGATCATTAGATAGCAAACACAAATGTGCTTATAAGATTCTTTGGTCAAAAACATATAAAATACCGGTTGAAATTATACAAAATGTGTAACGAAGATAAAACGAAAGCTACTATTGTCACAGTTGATGTCAGCAGCAGGGTTGGGCAAGTAGCGAGAACACGAAGTTAAAATTAATTTGTGTTGTTAGCCATTAGGACAGGGAAGTAGTCGTCACCTGAAAACCAGAAAAATGTAAAAAGTTACACTCCTCCAGTCCTCCCTATTTTTACCTTGCGTCCGCTGGGTTCTGTAATTCAGACATGGGGTTGTCAAAGGAATTTTTTTTGGTTGTTCTAAGCACAAGAAAGATGATTTTAACTCCCTATTAGGAAGTGGTTATGTCATCACAGAGAATGAAAATGAATGAATAGACCCATTCTTGTACAGAGTTGCGCCACTTGCAGTCAATTGACGACCCAAATCAGATTTTTGAGACAAAATGACAGTACTAGAAAAACATGAGAAAGAAAACCTCTTCTAGTACAGATCCCATTGTTAATTGCCTGTATGCTAAACCAACTTTTTTAACTGTTGCTACATAGAACAAAACAGTGTTTGGTGTCCCCAATATCATTCTTGTTTAATTTCCTAACCAATACAGAAACCTGCTGTAGCAGGTTGAAGGGTAGGAAGCAAGTAAGATGTACGCTTGAAGTAATCCATGTTTCTCTCCCGTCTGCAGTCCCTGATGGACCAGTACTTTGACCGTATGCGGACGCTGGCGGGCAGCTCGGAGCTCCCGTCACGGATCCGGTTCATGCTGGAGGACTGCATCGAACTGCGGGGCAACAACTGGGCTCCCCGCAAGATCGCCTTGGACCAGGGGCCGCGGACCATCCAGCAGGTCCGGGAGGCCGCAGCCAAGGTAGCCGGCAGGGTTGGTGTTCTAGTGTTACAAATAAGCACTTTCTTACACTGTTAAAGCACTTCTGCACTCAAGGTAGCAGGCAGGGTTGGTGTTCTACTAGTGTTACAAACGTGCACCTTCTTACATTGTAAAGCACTTCAATTTGCACTCTAGTCATCTTAACCCTGTAGCAGTTTGTGTTAATTAAAAGCTAGAGGAAGTGTTTCTATTATGTATCTATCAGTATGGAGGCCTTGCAAAGGTGCTCTTGAACAACCTGTTCCACCAGACCTTCCACTATGTGGAAAATTGTCACAAATAAGTAAAAATTAAAGCTTAAGATTTGCAGGTTGCATAATTTTTTCTTCAATCTGCAATATTGAGAATGTCTGCTAAATGCAGACTGCAGGTGAGTATTTCTAACACTGAATACCACCTCTCAGGTACATGGAGTGTACTACCCTCCCCCTGAGTACGGGCGCCGCCATCAGGGGAAGGATTTCTTCGGCGGCTCCATGAAGCAGCTCCGTGCCCAGCGGGACATGGGCGGCCTGTCGGACGTCTTCGGCGGCCCCCAGGGGATCATAGGTACGCTTTTCTGTCGACTCTTTTTGGATGTAGGGTTCTTTCTTTATCCCGGGCCATCAAAGTTTTCCGGAAATATTTGTCCAACCCTGGCCGGCCTCCCCAAGGCTTCAGTTTGTATTCTTGTGTCCTTTCTAAAAATGTTTTTAATGTGAGAGGGATTTAGTGTTGAGGCTAACCTGAACACTGGAGAGGTGGTGTCACAGCTTTACTTTACCAACTTACTGATAGACATGCTACCAGTCAGACACCACTTCAGGTTTCTCCCCAGATATTCTTAGGGGAGAGGTGCTCCTTAATTGGTTGATAAAAAATCAGCAAATTTTCATGAAAATACTAAGAGAAAACCCTAAATTTGAACATTTGGTAGTGGTGCTAGGATTTTGGGGAGAGGGGGAACACCCTTGCTTCTAGATAAGTAGCAATGCCTGAAAAGTGGCAGTCACACCAATATGATTGTTTCTGAAGATTGAAAACATTAGGCTTAAATTGAGAGGTCTTTTTTTTTCTTCTTTCCCCAGGGGATGCTGGGATAGGGACTGGCCCCGGCGTCATCCAAGACAACCACGATGACTTCCCTGCCATCAACTGGCAGCGTAATGGTAACATGAGGAACCAGCAGAACACAGGTACGAACTGTAGGTCAAACTGTAGGTCAAAACTTCAATCATGGTAGAAACCAGTTTTACACCCCCGAATATAAACAACTGCCTCATTAAAACAACTGTCATACATACAGAACCTAACCCTGAGCACCAACCAACTAACGTTGGCTGGAGTTCAGGAGCAGTTTGACCAGATCTATAGGCGCTAGGCCAGTTCTACCTTTTTATAGAAATCGAGTTGAATTTGCGTCAAATTTGACTGCCAACCATGACCTATTGGGGGCACTGTTGCTATATATTCATTTATTTGGCTTTATGTGACGGGGCCAGTAAGGAAGCACACACTGTATCTCAGGGAAGAATAATGGATTCTTTAAACATTTCTACTTTGCTTTCAATTGATGACATTGAGACTTTTCGCTGTTTCTCGTGTTGGTCTCTCTGTCTTGTACTCATGTCTAAGTAAAGCTCTATAATATTAGGCAACTCGGTACAATTAGTTGTGAAGGTACCACGCTGGTTGTGATGACTACCATGCTAATTCTGAGAGGCCTGGGACGTCACCTGAGGTTGTCATGTGGATGACCACTCGTGCGTCTGGCCTCTTTGAGAATGTTTCATTTGTTCTGATACCAGCATGGCTTAATATCATGGTCAGATTGCTCCCAAAACAGGGCTCTAGCCAGCACCAGTTTTTCCGTCAATTGCTGGAACTTTGCGGTGTGACAGAAATTTTTTTAAACCTATCCGTCCACCTTGACAGACAAAATTAACAAAAATCTTGGGCAAGAAAATGAGAACATCGGACCACCAACAACCACTCTCAGCATCATGATTTGCCTGTCAAAATGTGGGAAATTGTGTTTTTGAAGGCTTGAAAGTAAAAAATTTCTGCTAGATTGCGAGTGTCATCTCCAAATCTGAAGATGAACCTGGGCTGACAGAAAAACTTTTCAAGCTGGCTAGAGCCACAAAACTTCAGCCAACCTTACTCTGGTTGGAGGTTGTGGGGAGGTTCTGAATGTGTGACAGGTGCTTAAACCAGAGGACAAGACCTATATAGTGTTGGACTTGTCTGATGTCAGTTTCTTGGTCTGTGTGTGTGTTATGTGTTAGCAGTGCCTGCTGCTGCTGTCCCCCATTTTCATGACAACTGGTCATTCCCTGAACTTGTCCCGCCCAGGCCAACAATCTCTCCTGTCCAGCAAGGTCTGGCACGTCCAGTCTCTCCTCTCACTTAACAAATCTTCCTCAAGATTTTACTCTGTCCTATATATCCTATTAATTCCTGAACTCATCTTTATTTTCAAAGACAAATCAAGTTGTACTACTGCATAGTTTTTTTTTCCAGATGTTTCAAGTGATATCCATCACTCTTCATCACAGTGTTACTAAAATGAATTGACAGAACTAGTCAACACTAATCACGTGTAAAAAAAAACTGGGAAAAACAGTTGAATGTCAAAGACTATATCACTGTTAATAGTGTTATGTAATTGAAGAAGAGTGAGGGATGTCACTTAAAACACCTGGAAGGAATCTCTGTAACTTACTGTAGTACAGTTTGAATTGTCTTTGGATATTTATGTTTAACTTTAAACTTTAAATCTATGTTTCTTTTCTTTGTTTTTTCTCTATACATTTTGTGTAAGTTTCCCTTTTTTCTGTGTGTATCCTTTTGATTGTCTTTTAATCCTTGTTTCTCTTTTGTTTGTTCCTTAAAGTATTCTATACATTGTCTTCAGGTTTTCCATATCTTAAGTTCCTGTGTATTTTTACAATTTTTTAAAAATTTCATTGTCCCTTATGTTATAAATTATTAGGTGGCAACTGGAAAGTTCATGACATGTTGTATGTCTTTTAATTAATAAGAAGAACTATTGTTTTGAACATGCCATAATATTATCTTTCTCTATTTCTCCTTGCGTGCCTGGTTATAAACGTTTTGAACTTTTTGAACATGCCATTATATTATTTCTGTCTTTCTCTCCTTCCGTGTCAGGTTATAACCAGTTTGTGGGTGGCGGGGGCGGGAACCAGAGACAGGAGGGCGGTTATAACCAGTACCAGCAGCGCAACGCCAACCAGCAGCAGCAGAACAGCCTCCCACCTCGGTCAGTTTCATACTTACAATCCTGCCTGACAGTGTGCATGGCTCAAAATACTGCATCTTATACATGTAATTAGTGCACACAAATTTGAAGCTGTGCACCCAATTTTTTTTTTCTTTGGGTGTACCAATGGACCAATTTTCATAGGTTTATACATGTAAAGATGTTAAATGTATCATAGTGTAATATACAGCATTTTTAACATCTAAGTGTCAGAAAAAATAGAATCTTGTTATTATTAGTGTAAGGGGTTGAAAATGACACTTTTTATGCATATTGTAAGAGGCCATCGTCTTTGAAGTTTTTGTGGCCAGCATGTTAATCTGGTTATGCTAATTCGAGGCTTTGATGATAGGAACATTAAGGACCTGTCGTATGGGTGCGAAATATTGTGTTGTTCCCTTGCTAGACGACTGTCTGCATTGCAATATGTGTCCAGTCTGTGGTTTGACAATAAAAGCTGGGTGTTCGGTGGGTTGAGAGAACAGTCTAGGAGACAGTCTGAGACAGAGACAGCTTGAGGGAAGGTTACTGAAGAGACTGTCCCAGCCCATCGTCTCCCGTGCGTGCGTAACGGCAATGCCTGTGTCCTGCGTGTGTTCTTGCTAGCCCTGTAGTTAGTTCCCCGTGCAGCATCCACTTAAAAGAACCTGGTGAATTCCACCTCGGTTACATTAGTACTTTTCTTTAGAAATGAAACATAATTAATTTTTGCTGACATTCTTCTTATTAGAATTTTTTTTATGGTGCTCCCAAAAATTTTTTTCTGCATCCAGTTTTTTAGTTTGGGTGCACCAACTACATGTATTCCCAAAAATGAATTTCGATCCCTACACACCTCTAACTCGAAAGAACCATTCACAGAACTACCAATAGGAGCTCTTCATACTTCCCGAAATGTAAAATCTCAGAATTTTGTTCAACAATAATTTGTTTCGTAAAATGTTAAATGGAATTGTCTTCAAGTTGTCTATTTTGGTATAGACCTTTGTTCAGTTTTGATCCATGAAGTTTAATGATTTAATTTTCTTTCTACAGTTTTATGAAGAAGAACCAGTTTAACTCTGGGGAGATCAGCCTTCGCCCCACCAAGGACTCCATGGTCTTCAAGCCCCAGGGGGGGTTCATGCCCCCCAGCAGCAAGCCCTCCCAGGGGGGCACCCCCCCCTCAGGCTCACCAACCCCCATCATGATGCAACCCCCCACCATACCCATCCAACAAGCCAAGTCCTCAGGAGACAAGAGCAAGAAGGACAAGAAGCAGCCTCCACCTTCCAAGGAGGACCTCAAGAAGTTGACTGTGAGTCACTAAAAACACACAACACAAACTTGTAAAGAGGCCTATCTTCTTTATTTCATTGGGATTTAAACTTCTTTGTACCTCTCAGTCTATGTAAAATAGAGGTATTGTTTTTGGTGTGTCTGTGTGTGTGTTTCCGCACATTTGTAGTCAGCATAAATTCAGCATGCCTTTATGGATTGTGATGATATTTGGTATGTTGGTAGGTCGTAGGAAGACAAAGGTCAAGGGCAAATACGGGCCTCCTGGTGGCTGACCTTGGTACTGCAGCAGAACTTCCATTTTTTGTATATTTCGTCCTGAATCAGTCTCAATTGTTATTCCCAGGAGGAGATGCTGACTGAGTATCTGAACACTAAGACCGTAGACGAAGCTGTTCGGAGCGTACGCGACATGCGCGCTCCGAAGAAACACCTGCCGGAACTGACGTGTCACCTGATGACGCACGCGCTCAACAGGGAGGACAGCGACCGTGAGGCCATCAGCGACCTCATCGCTGCCCTCAAGAAGGACGGCGTCATTTCTTCTGAACATTTCATCGAGGTAGGCTCGGGTTTGAGTATGATTCAAGAGACTTCCAAGATGAGAACAGATCTGCCCAAGTCAAATGCAAAACTTTGGCTTCATATGTAGAACTATAGCAGGATGATAGTCAAATAATGCAAATAATGCCTCAGAAAGTCAAATACTTGATGCTTAGATTTTATTTCTAAATAGCACTCCAGCTACATGTGTATGTAGTGAAATCAGTATATCTGTAGGTGCAAGGTTCTAGGGGTTAGGGGGTCTCTTGCAGCAGTTTTCTTGCAGGGGTTTGACTTTGAGGGTCTCCTTCAGCAGTTTTTTTACCTGTGTACAATGTACTTTGTGATTTCATGTGTTTGAGGGTCTCCCACAGCATTTTTTTTACCTTAGTACTTTGTGATTTTAATGGTTTATATCAACTGTTTTCTGATCTGCATACATTGGCTCTGTGTGATTTCAGGGGTTTGAGGGTTTCCTAATGCAGTTCTCTGACCTACATACTTTGATTTTATGGGTTTGAGGGTCTCCCACAGCAGTTTTTTGACCTGAGTACTATGTGATTTCAGGGTTTGAGAGTCTCCCACTGCAGTTTTCTGACCTGTACTATGTGATTTCAGGGTTTTGAGGGTCTCCTGCAGCAGATGTCTGACCTGGAGAATGACGTCCCTCTGATCAAGTCCTACACCGCTGCCTACGCTGCACGCGCCGTGAAGGATGACCTCGTGCCGCTCACTGATGTTGCACAGGTAGCTGCTGTGTTCTCTCATGTCAACTTTCATACATTATTACAGTACTTCACTCCAAGGGAATGAAGTGTGTTTTTTTTTTGGCTTTGTGTGTGTGTTTCTGTGTTTCAAAATAATATATACCCAAAGCAGCATTGCACGAAAAGGCAAAAAATCTCATTCTGCCTTCCTTGTTCCCTGCCCCCCTCCCCAGCCCATGGAGAACGGAGCCCACTATCCGCTGTTCCTGCTGGTTCTACAGCAGCTGCACAAGCTGTCCGGCCGGGACCAGCTGGTCACCGTCTTCACAGACAGCAGGATCAACATGGTCAAGATGCTGCCTGGTATGCACGGGTTTCACTTTCCAGTACCAATTTGAAAGTGGGATCATGTGGCGTACCGTTAGTGTTAGGCTCAGACCCGTCCCGGATTTGAATCCTGCCCGATACCACCAATCTTGTGCCCTTGGGAAAGGCACTTTACACGACTTTCCACACTTCACTCAGGTGTAAATGGGTATCCAGCTTTAGTAGTATTTACATGTAGCTTTTCAATAGTGAACATTGCTGGATATAAGTCGAAATTCTGGATGAATAACCTTCATAAGCATAATATAACATGTCCATTTTGAATGTATAAGACTGAAATGTACAGTTGTTATGTTTACCAAAGGAAGACATTGTTTTTGCTCTGTTTCCTCTTCTTCTCCAAACCGATAAGGTTAATGACCTGAACCAGGCATCTGTCACCATGGTAACTGGTGTTGGGTTACATCGTGTTGCAATTGTATAGCAGGAAGAATTTATACTCCTGTCTGACCATATATACCCGAGGTATGAATGTGTGAGTAAGAATTAACAGAACAGACCATACATGTATGCGGAGGTGAACATTATGCATTTTACTATTAATTTTTTTTTCCCCAGAAATTGACCAAAACAAAGAGAAGATGATGGGAATCCTGGAGGGGAAGGGTCTGAGTTTCCTGTTCCCCCTGCTGCGCATGCAGGCAGAGCTGTGGAAGGCTCTCCAGGCCGACCCCACCCCCGCCGCCATCTACAAGTGGATCAAGGACAACGTGGAGACACGACTACACACGGACCCCGGCTTTGTCAACGTGCTCATGTCAAGGTTAGGAGAGAAACTTACTGACCTTTTTATGCTTACTGAAGGAAAACATACTGTTTTTGCTCTGTTTCTTCCTCTTCTTCTTCTCCAAACAGTGACCTCTGACCCGACCAATGACCTGATTTGTTGATGTCTGTCACCACGGTGACTGGTGTTGGGTTACATAATGTTGCAATTTCATGGTCTGCTCTAGACTCCTGTCACCATATACTTGTAGTACATGACATTGTATGCAAATGTGATTAAGAATTAACAGACCGTATTCGAAGGTAAACATTATGCATTTGCTTTGCAAATGTTACTTCTCTAGTTTATGTTTACCGTTATGTTAACCGAAGGAAAGCGTATTGTTTTTGCTGTTTCTGCTTCTTCTACTCCAAACAAATGAGTCTGCAGTCTGCATTTTGCAGAGACGTTTTCAATATTGCAGAAGGAAAATTAAGCAGCCTGCAATTTTGCCGTATGGAAAAAATTAGACTATGGGTTCAATGGTCATGAAGACCTTTTGTGATTACTACTAACTAGTCTAACGGGGGGTGTCCTAATTCCGACCTACCCCTAATTCCGTACTAGTTTGAAAAATCCTTGTCGCCGCGCTATGCATGGGAGCACGTGCCTATAAATAACCACAAGAATGGACAAAGTTTCTGTGTTGATATCGGTATTCTCACAAAGTTTGTTCCAGTTCGCACGCTCCGATAACAGACGATTGAAAAATCTGTATAAATTCGACGCTTGTTCGGGGGTTGACGAGCGTGTTAAAAAACGCAGCTTTGATTTTGAAACAGCCGCTTTGGAGCAAGTAGCGTAATGGTACAAAGAAGACTTGTTTGGGACAGAAAAATAGTTATAGATTGTTTTAGTCATAATTTGTGTATTTTAGATACCTAACTCTCTCCTCAGATTGGCCTTTGTTAGATACTAGGTCGGAATTAGGGCACCCCTTTTGCGATAGAACGTTCCACCGGCAGAATGACGAAAAACCTGCCGTAAGTTTCGCGAACCATTACGCTTGGGTGCAAGGCGCCACACTAAAGTGAAATACACAGCTATTTAGCTTTAATCGTTGTTATCTTTATCTGTAAATATTATAGCTCGTGTTAGGCGGGTTTTTGGTGAGACAAACCATTACCAAAGGTATGTGCGTTTGCATGGAACATAGGTCGGAATTAGGACCCCTCCCGTTAATGTAGTTAGTAGTTTTGCATGAATTTTCAAATTCTGTGTAAAATGTTTGCCAACATGCAATTTTGTATATGCCATGGGATCTGGACTTGTGTGTATTTGCAGGAAGTATTTCCAAATTGCAGAACAAAATTTTAACACTCAGCAATATTGCCAAACACTGAAAAAAAAGTATTTCTACCTTTGGCTAACCACTGAACCTACTGATTCCCCCCTGCAGCATACTGAAGTACGTGACCCAGGAGTCGACCCTGGGAGAGGACGTTGACCCCGCCGTGATGCCCGGTAAGGACCTGGTGGAGAAGGAGAAGGACCTGGTGGACCGGCTCAAACCGGTTCTGCAGAAGTTCCTGCACGAACACGTGGACCTCCAAGTCAGCGCGCTGTACGCACTGCAGGTTCACTGCTTCAACAATAGTTTTCCTAAAGGTAGGACAACTGGAAACTTTGACGAAAATGTAACTGTTCTCCAACTGAAGAATGAAAATGACTCACTAGAAATCTTCGACTGAATCACTCAGTCGTCATCAGCTTTATGACCCAAGCACCCATTTAGTAGAAAATTTCTGGTAAGTCATTTTCGTTATTCAGTTGGAGAACAGTCGAATTTTTGTCATGTATTTTAGTTTACCAACTCAGATGAACTTTCATGCTAACTGGAAACTTTGTTGTCACTGGCCTTTTAACTTTCTCCCTGCTGCCTCACTCTATAAACGATAGCAAATCTGTTGCCAAATATCTACATTGTACTTCAGTGTGTTGAAGGTTAAAGTGTATGGTACTTAGCTGCCTATACTTCTGATTTTCTGAAAGTTGCATCAGCCTGTATCATGAAGGTAGGTTGGAACTGTTGGAAATCAGCCTTTCATAGCCATTCAAAGAGAAGATGTCAAAGTCTTGATGATACATTGATTTACAGACATTTCAGCTTTACTCAATTCTATAGAATCAGCTTGCAGTGTGTTACATGTCTTAGGCCTGCTGTTCTAACATTTTCCCCCACCCCACACCAGGTATGCTGTTGCAACTGTTCATGATAATGTATGACCTTGATGATTGTTCTAACATTGCCCCCCTCCCCACACCAGGTATGCTGTTGCAACTGTTCATGATAATGTATGACCTTGATGATTGTTCTAACATTGCCCCCCTCCCCACACCAGGTATGCTGTTGCATGTGTTCATGATGTACACATGTATGACCTTGATGATTGTTCTAACACTGCCCCCCTCCCCACACCAGGTATGCTGTTGCGTATGTTCATGATGATGTACGACCTTGAGATCGCGGAGGAGGACGCTTTCTTCCGCTGGAAGGAGGACATCAATGACGAGTTCCCTGGCAAGGGCAAGGCTCTTTTCCAGGTGTGTAGGCAACAGTATAATTCTGTTATAATTATACTGTTATTGGCATTGTACTGCCTGTTGATGAAGGAATTATAGCATAATTTTCCTGCATCTAGTATTGAATGTGTCAGGGGTAAGGTGAACAAACATTGAGCTTGCACTACAGCCTCTTGAGAACTTCACATGTAACTGTATCTGTCAATTTTGAAGCTCATGTGGCGCGAGTTTTTGGTCAGACAAACTATTACCAAAGGTATGTGCGTTTGCATGGAACATGGGTTGGAATTAGGACCCCTCCCATTAAGAACAATCCGGAAGCAGATATTATGTGCTACACGACATTTGGCTAACCGATTTCCATAGCTGCACACTAAAGAACTGGGAACAGTAGGTCATGAACAATACAGGGTATCTTTCACGCTAGAAGATATTTAACATTGTATGATGTTTTACTCAGGTTAATACCTGGCTGCAGTGGCTGGAGACGGCAGAGGAAGATGAGTCAGAGGAAGAAGAGGATGACTAGTCCCTCCCAGCCCCTGTATGTCACAGGCCCTGACGGCACATGCAATATTGTTACTCCTGTGGACCTCCTCAAGAAAACACACCAGCAGCCTGTAGAACAAGACACTTCGCAATGCCCCTCAGACGCTGTTCTTTTGGCTGGAACAATTTTGGTTCACGCGGCGGCAAAACCGGCTTCGTTCAAAGGATTCGTTCGTGGATGAATACTACAACGTTCACTTGAAAAACACCATACCTACAACACAGACGAACAAGTTTGGAGAGCAATCCTGATACTAGTGTTTTGCCATATGCAGGATACAGTAGAAACTTTGCACTTTAGGTGTAAGAAATGTTACGTTTTCTGGGTTCCTGCCATATGCAGGGATATCTAGCTTTGTATGTCACGCTTTTAACGTTCACAGCAAAACCATAGAGCAAGAGTTACGTCAACTGTACTGTTATGCCACATATCACATCAACTGTTAGACAAAATATTCCATATGGTTTTCATCAGGAAACTTTTGGACGAATCGTGTCTGGGATTGTTTGGAGTCTGGCTGTTGCTCTTGCCAGAAGTCTGCAGATGTGTCGGGGATTGTGATTGGTCGATGTGATCATCATTCCAAGCTGTATGCCTTTTTATATTATGTACATCCATGTGGCAATACCTAATGAAGTGTGCGTTTTTGCGGCAAGACCCTCGCTTGAAAGTAAGGGTTTTACTGTTACTGATTTAGACTACTGTTGCAAACAAGGGAACGAAATGAACTTTGAGTAGAGGACAATGATTCTTCAGTCATCTCGAATGTGTCTGTAGGTAGACAGGAAATTCGATTTTAAGCGTACAGTTAAAGCATTGAACTTTCGGCATTTTGTTACAAGTGTTATAAGCATAAGATCCACTCTATCATATACAAAAACATTATTCTTTTTAATAGGGTAGCTGCATAATTTTGCCCATTCTTTTCCAATGTAACAACAATCATGCATAGGTTGTACCTTCGGTGAATATCTTGGTATCACTGATGCAAGTTGGATGCTATAGAGTTGCCGAAAAGAGTTCCACCATGTGGCAATAGTAGTGTTGATTCCTAAAGTTAAGTATGAAGCACATACATATGATGGAGACTTCCAGAGAGGGACAAGCGAACGTGCGCAATATTGTCGACTGTTTCAGAATAAACCTGACTGTGAAGCAACTGGATTGTTCTAGTGCCTAGATGTCACTATCGGAAAATGAGTCTGAGTACCATGCCTTACATGTCAGAACAAAATGCCCGCAATAATAAAAATGATATAAGAGAGAGCCAAACTTTACAAAAAAAAGTCTAAGCAGCTAATAGTTTATTGCCTTCAATGTTTGTGAAAGGGGAACCTGGATTCAGATAACGATTTAGTTAAGAATATTGTAGTTTTCTGTTCAATTGTAACTGCCAAAAAATTACTGGAAGCATCCTAAAAAGTGTGTTCATTTACCTGTATGTTGCAGTCTGCATATGGTATATTACATGTAGGTTACTAGTATATTTGGTGTATGTAGTTTTGTATAGGGATGTTCTTACCTTAGTTTGTAATGTAATGTAGTCTAGGGAAGATTTCACTGCTTGGTGCTGTGCCAAAAAGGCTGACTGTTGTGTTGTCTTGATGACACAGTGACTGACCATTTTGCAATACATTTCATATCATTTGGTTTGCATTACAGAGCATAGGAATACATTTTGCCGCAAATTTCCAGACTTGTGCTTTACGATAGATCTGTAACATTGTGAGCAATGTGAAATGCACTTCTCCCTAAGACATGTGTAAGCAATGATTATTATATCCAAACGTTTTTAACGCTCAGAGAATAGTTTGCTGCAGTTTTGTAGCGCGAGACCCGACAAGTCTGTTTTACCAAGTGTCCATGGAATATAGATGTTGCTTAGTATTACGTACTTCTGATTTGGTGAAAGTTGTTCCTTGTACATTTTTTTCATCCTGAATAGTTGTAAGTAAGAATAGGCAAAAAATCGTTGCGTCTGCCCCAAGTTGATGAAACCAAATGCAGTATTTCCTTGGTATGAAGATAGCGACATCACAAGGCCAACAAACTGAACTGTACTGGCAGGTAGAAGGTGGAAAGTTCAGTAGTTTGGAATATTTATGTCCATGTCGTGTAGACATTTTTATTTTGCTCATGTCAATAAAACTAGTTTAGTGTAATGTGACAAAGTGTTTGCTTGGTCTTATTGACGGAGGAATGAAAGAATACTGGTTTTCTGCCGCAAGGCCCTCGTGTTTACAGAGTATTACGGTCTAATCGTTGTGTGTCAGGTACATTAATTACCATATGGATGAAATCCAAGCAGATGTCAGGAGGAAAAGCCCAATGGAAAAAGTGAAGCACTTCTTAACCACACGTATTAACCATAAATCATTATCATCATTATATTTCTTATCATCCTCGCGGACGATAAGTAAACAATTGAAAACTCTCATCTAAGTTAACTTGTGGTAGCATTAGTCCAAACTTTAAGGTGACCAATTATTTGAGTCCCATATTGTCATCACACTCATGACACCCAACCAGCTACATGTATTCCTGTCATGGCCCCCAGTCAGCTTTTTTAATTTGGTCACTTTCAGCTGCTCATCTGGAAAAGCAGAACAACATTCCTTAGTTTTCAGTAGCGTTTGTCCGTCTGTCTATGAGTATGAACAGCATTATATAACTCAAGAAGCTTAATATGCATTGTCATGAAACTTGGTAGGTAGGTAGGATTGAGACAAAACATTCACACCGAACCACAGGGACAATGTGGCATCTTACAGCTCTTATTTATTGTTAAAAAGCTGCTTGTTATTATATAATAAGAACTATCCATCTAGCACTTGTACATTCACAATATGTTAACACAATATGTAGACCTAATGTCATCGCCACTATCACGATTTTGTTACATTTTTAACCATTTTAAAAATGAGGTTTTGAAAAAGGTTCCATGGTCATAATACTTCAACCCTGTGTCCTCTGAAATGGAGTGGGTAACGCTCTTGGTACCTTTTGTATGTTATCAGCTCCAACATACATGAAGATTCTCATTTAAAGATTGACAAGGTCAAAGGCTACTAGATGCGGACGTACATGAGACTTGGCATCACCTACCAGGGCTTGAAATACTTTTCTCTGTATACCTGAACAGGTGCAGGTAACTTTACCTACACCAGACAAAATTTACCCACACCACTTAGCACTTATGAAGTATGGATCACAATAAACTCTATTCAGGAATCATTATAATAATTATTTATTTTATACCTCAGGTGGTAACAGTCAACGAAGGAAATAAACATCTAGTAGGTACATATATAAATCCAGTACGTCATGGATCAGTGTAGGTAGAAATGAATGTACCTGCACAGCTGCAATTTTACCTGCATAAACTAGCATATGCAAGTGGTATTTCGAGCCCTGCTTATGCTATCTGCTTCGAATTCATCTACTAGAATTTCAGGGCTCAAAATACTTCTCTCTACTTCTTCTACTTGAAAGAACACTTCATGTATTCTCTTAGTCTTTGCTTTAAGTTAGTTAAAGTTAAAGAGCCTTCACGCGTCAAGTGACGCATAGGGCGGCACCCATCTCCCTTCATTAGCCCTGGGCCACACACAGAAGTCACTACAGCAGGGGGCTAGTCCACTGGTGGTGTGTGTTTAACTCCCATACTCTTTCCTAAATGCTGAGTGCTAAGCAGAGAAAGCAGTATGTACCATTTTTAAAGTCTTTGGTATGACTCGGCCGGGAATCGAACTCACGACCTACCGAATGCAAGGCGAACACTCTACCCACTTGGCCATCGCACCGGTCTTTGCTTTCCAAACTGCAAAATTGTAGATTGGTATTTTGAGCCCTGTCTTCACAACACTATATACAGTACCGTTCGCGTTATAGTTACCCTAACGGCCGTTACTAACGCGTTTTTTTTCCGTTACTTTTCCGTTACTTTTCCGTAAGTTTTCCGTAACTTTTGCGTAAGTTTTCCGTTACTTTTCCGTTACTTTTCCGTTAGACTTCTGCATTCATATGCAGGCCGCGGTAACATCACAGAATAATGGGAGGAGTACTAATTTACCTCATGCGGGGCGGGAAATTACCGATACACACCGCTGGAACAGCGGAAGGAACGTTGATCTAGCCTGCATTTTACTATATTGTAACGTTTAAAACGTTTTACGATCACCGGCGCAATTCAATTAGATAGACATTTTCTTTTGTCACTGTTGCCCAGGCAAGCGTTTCTATAGTTTGTCAACTTTGTTTTGCTGTTTTTCTCTGTTAACTTATTTTACCACCGAATAAGCAAACCTAGATGATCTGAAGTTATAAATGCCCCGGTCCGCCGTACATAATAGGAGGCGGGCGTGAGGTAACGTTAGGGATGTGCAAAAAACATCGTGGAAAATTCCTATAACACTCGAAAAAAGGTAGCATATTTACACGTGCCCACCAACATTTTTATGGCTAATTATTGACCAGTTTTGGGGAGTTTTGTTATGTCCTTGGAGTTTTGTTAGAGTGGGACGGAAAGCCGTGCCGCCACTCTGACTCCATGCACTTCCGTGTTACATTACGTTGTATGTGACCAACAAAATTACGCCAAAGGCACCACAAATCCACATGCACATATATTTTTTTTTCCGAAAATTCTTTTGAGTACGCATTTCGTCACTAAGATGTTGCTAATTAGTCGTAGAAATAAGGTAGAAACCAGCGTAAATGTGGCTCTCTCGAGATCATTTCGCGCGGGGAAGGGCGCCCCAGCATGCAACGGGCTTCGTTCTAGCCAATCACAGCGCAGGTCATCTAAGGTGAACCAATCAGAGCGTAGCTACTTGCATATTATAATGAGCATGCTGCACACAGGTCGGCAGCGGCCAGGGCGACCGGCCCTGAGTGCGCGGGAAATGTGTTTTGCAACTATATTTTTACGGGGATTTTCTGACGTTTGACGCTGACTTTGGCACGATATGATCGCACTACCATGTACACGCTACCGTAGGCGGCAAATGAGTGGTCATTTTTATATAATCGTCGAGAAATTTTGGCGTTATGCACCCGGAAGTGAGCCGATCTCAGTTTGCGTTCCCTCGATTTTTGACAGTTTCCCCCCTACAAAATAAGAAACAAAACTACCGCTATTAAATAGAACCATGTATTACAATTATCATTTCAACATGATAGATCTATTATATATTCCTTTATTAACTATGATATCATCATGGTTGTGGAAAGTCCTCAGCTGGCGAACCGAGTCCTTGCGCCGGGAGTGACGGTACATTTTACCGTGAGTATTAAAGCCGCTAACGTTAGTACTAGTAAGCCGCGCGCCTTACAAAAATTATAATAATTTTCTTTTGTGTCAAAAACCGCCGTGAATTTAAGGCATGAGTTACCGATTTATATTTCTTCTACGGCAGATATTTCTTGTTTCGTCACGTCCCATGACGTCCTGTGAGAGCGGTAGGCCGCCGCTGGTACAAAATGTACAAGACATCGTCTGCCCACTGCTACACTTTGTTGACATACATTGTATTACACAACGTAATTTTCCGCTAGAAATAACTATAGAATAGCATTAAAAGATAGCACAATTCGCTTCACACAGTCGACACATGGATAAACCACAAAGTTATTTTACGAATCACATGTCCACTTGCCTCTAGTGCTGTTATTTTTCAAGGGGCAACATCGCAACACATTAGCGGACGCCCCAGGAGGTGGCAAATTGCTATTGTCTTGTCGGCGCGCAAAACAAACATGAAATCCGACCCTATCACATTAACGCAAACGGTAACGCGTTAGAAATAATTTCTGACGATTTTCTAACCATTTTCTGACGAAAATCTAACCAAATACTGACGATTTTCTAACCATTTTCTGACGAAAAAATAACTCGTTAGTAACGGGGTACCCGGTTAACTATAACGCGAACGGTACTGTAGTCTTTACATTCTTGCCATTACCACTGTGACAATAGTAATTACGTAAATACATACATGTACATACATGTACATGTACATGTATATATAACTACACTGCAGGCTGTCAGAGCTCTTTACTAGACATGTCCTTGTACCCCTTGCTGGACACGACCATCCTCCCTCCTTCCACGCTAATGAACCTGTGCCTTTTGTTGTACGGCCCTCTCGTCAGACTGCCTTTTGGGATGATGCCAACAGTCGGGACTTTCTTTGTGTTTGCTGTAGTGTAGTGCTGGTAGTGCCTGACCACCTTGTGGGTTTCGCTGCCGTGCTTGGACTGGAAACGTTCCCCACACAGGTCACACTGGAAGGGGTACATCCTGGCAAAGCCCGAGATAGCCTCCCTCCGCGTGTCGGCCAGCTGGTCCGCGTTCTCTGCCTTCAGCTTCTTCATTTCTCGCACGTGGATTCGCATGTGGCAGTGCAGGTTGTGCTTCGTCATGAAAGTAGCCTTGCAAACGTCACACGTGTGTAAGAACCGATCGCCCTTGGACTTGGAGGCAGCCATACTCTTCACATCTGTAATGGCTGCATTGGCCGACTGGCTTGGTCCTGACCCAAGAGCCCTGTCGCTTAATTTAGTCCTTGCGAGTTGCTCCTTTTGCCCATTTGTTGTCTTTGGTTGTATGTGTTTGTAACGGTGCATTATTTGGTGGATCCTTGCCTCTTTCTCGGACATGACTGTTCCTTTACATGTCGTGCACTGTTGAGACTTGTGCGTTGCGAGATGACGAGCTAACCCCCTCTTGTTGACAAAATTCCCGCCACAAAAAAAACAGCGATAGCCACCTGCATCTTTCTCCTTACACATTTGAGTGACTGATTTCTGCACCAAATCACTGTCAATATTCCTTTTTGTATCATCTTCATCTCCTGGTTGCTTGCTTTCAAAGGATGCAGAATTATTCTCTGGAGGACCATTAGTGACTTCTTTGGTATTTGTTAGTATAATGTAACGCCGGTGTTTGTGTCCCTGGTGGACTCCAAGGCTGCGTACTGACTGGAAACGTTCCCCACAAATCTTACACTGGAAGGGGTACATCTTGGCAAAGCCTGCCAGAGCTTCCTTTCTTGTGTCGGCCAGTTGCTCTGCGTTTTCAGCCTTCAACTTTTTCATCTCTCGCATGTGCATTTTCATGTGACGCTTCAAACTTCCCTGTGTGACAGATGTAGCCTGGCAAACATCACACGTATAAAAGTCTTGCTGGTTAGACACTTCTGCCATTGATTTCTGCGCTCTATCACTATCATCAGTCCTTACTCTATTGATTTCATGAGATGAAAGATTTTCCTCAACTGGAAGTATTTCCATCACTTGTAAGCTGCCCAGAGAAACTTCTTTAACTGTGCACCCCTGAGCTGTAGGCAGTACGGTAGGGTTATTCTTACATGTACTAGTACGTCTTGTCATGACCACCGTGTTCTTATCTGCGTGCCAAACAAATTCAGGCCTGTTGTCTGAATTTGTAGCCTCACTTATGTTTGTGCTTGCAACTGTAGCTTGTCGAGAGGTCGTAGGACCACCCTGTAGTGGTTGTGGCTCTTGTACTACACGTGTGAACTGTGAACTCTGTTTTGTGGGGTCAGATGTCTCTTGTTTGGTAGGGGTGACCTTTGAAGTTTGTGGCATGGGGTCACATGTCTCCTGGGTGACCTCTGAACCTTGCAGGACAGGGTCACTTGCTTCTTGTTTGATTGTGGTGACCTCTGAACCTTGCAGGATGGGGTCACATGCCTCTTGTTTGATAGGGGTGACCTCTGAACTTTGCTTGATGGGGTCACTTGCTTCTTGTTTGATTGTGGTGATCTCTGAACCTTGCAGGATGGGGTCACAAACCTCTTTTTTGATAGTGGTGACCTCCGAACCTTGCAGGATGGGGTCACATACCTCTTGTTTGATAGTGGTGACCTCTGAACCTTGCAGGATGGGGTCAGTTGCCTCCTGTTTGATAGATATGCTTGTCCTGATTGGGCTTGTATCACATGACTCTGGACTGGTGGCTGTTACCTCACTGCTGACCTCTGACCTATCGAAGGTGGGATCATACGGCTCTTGTTTGATGCTGGTGAGATCATAACCCCCAGCAAGGCCCAGCTTCCTGTATCAAAAAGAGAAGTACGTAAATACAATTGCTTAATGTTATTCATTGTCTGAACAACCTCAGAACAGAGGAACTAAACTCAGGCCTTGAAATTAACTACTAGTATTATAATATCAACTTTTCTTCCTATTGTCCCAGCACTGTCCCAAAAATAAATTTAAATTGTCCCAAGGTGAGGATAAGCTGTCTCAGCCTGTTTTTCGGGAAATATGACTCAAGTTGAAGTCAACTATATTTTGCTTATGTTCACTCCCAGGCGCACGATAATTGCAGATTTGACAGGAATTTTTTTTTTTTTTGTGGGGGGGAGACTTTTCTGGAGTCAAAAGCTGGGACATGTGCCTTATTAAGATAAACAAAAACAAGGGCTGACATTCTGATGTTATTGTTCTTTTGTCCCAAAAATGACCCCAAAGTGTCTTTTTAGTTTAATGCCCCAGCCTAAATTTTACTGAACAGTGGCCATCGGAACACCATAAATTTCGAGCCCTGAAACTGTTAGAGCTGATTTGATTAGATAGGATATTGCCACAGAAGCGACTACAAAAATAATTTAATAATTTGCAGATGCATGCTTATTTGCAGAATCTAGTCTGACTTTTGCTCAATTAAAATTGAGCTTGTAGCAGCTTGCCTTATCTGGACCTAGTAGTGAGAGATAGTGCAACACGGTACAGATTTTATGAATATGATATCATCTGATGCGTAATGTCAACGCCTCATATTGTAAGGGGGTGGGAGATAATGTGAGATGATTTATTAATGATAAAAAGAAAAACTGTTACATTGTGCATGTCGTATTATGCAAGCAGAATTATCAAAACACACATTTATTATGTACATTTCAGGAAAGACATTCTTGTGAGTGAACCCCTAAAATTATACTTCGGTATGAGACCAAAATACACTCATAACGAAGCTAAGAAGGCCAGAAAGGAAGCCTTACGTACGAATTTTGCCTTTCATTAACCAATAATGAATAAAAAACAAATACCTCGGTACACTAGGCTTTCGCCTGGACATTGAGCTCAGCTCCCGGTGACGAAGGTTGCGAAAATTAGCGAAAGATTCGCGTTTTTCTTGCCGCTGTTGTGCTAACGTTTCGCGGGAGTCGACCCTGCTCTGCTCTGGCTTGTGTTTGGGGTCAGCGCCGCATCCAAACAAACGAGCTGTGGCAAACGATACAGCTAACGAATATTTCCAAAGATATCAAGATATTTGTGCAGGATATATTTGACTGTATCATGCAAATAATTTGATGATAATTATTGGTGAAATGCTAGCGTTCGAATATGATTGGTATATGTTATGCTGCCATCTTAAGGTCAAAGGTGAACTCCCGCGAGTGTATTTGGGTAATTTCGAGCCGTTTTCTTCATCAATTTAGTAGATAAGAGACAGTTCATAAGAAGAACACCGTGCTGTAGTTTTGGGAAACACTGTAGTTAGTAATATTCCTGTCGTTGCTGCGATGTGCTGAGGAGGCGATCGAGTACGTATACCCCCCTCCGAGCCTCACGAATCCAGGCTCCAGAGACAAAGAAGATTTTGTGGGGAAAGACGCGTCTAGACGCCATTCTTTCGACCGAGAGATTTGCCCTGAGCAAGGACATTATACACAGAGCTGAGGAATGTCGAGTTATTGTACTTTTACGGTACGTTCGCCATTTTTAAAGGCATTGGCATGCTTTAATAGAAGTCTCCTAACTTGTAGAAACAAATTATTATGTCTACTAGATAACGTTTACCTAATCGCTCGCACTGGGGATAAAATTTAGCATTTTTTAAGTGAATTTGTTGTGAACAACATGGCGGCATGCTCCCTGACTCCTGCAACACTGAATTGTAGGGTAGAGTCTACGGACAGGTATGGCAGGTACAAGCACCTAGATAGGGTAAAATTATCATAATTTGTATGTTCACGGTATGGACCAAGTGTATTACGTGTATTTGTTTTGGCTTGGGTTGACAAATTGTTATGGACCAGGTGATCACCTTACAGGTGAGTTTCGTGTATTTGTTTGGATTAGGCTTGACAATGGACCTGGTGAGACAATAGTATTGATTTGAGCCTTGATCTGATTTTATTTAAGACTGTTCTTTTGAACATGTAAGTTTTTTGTCAGTCTGTGAATATGTGCTTTTGAAAAATGATCTGGAATACTGGTATAGTAACTACTTAAAACAACTTTTTTTACTTTGCAGGTGGAACTGACTACTTTGGTTCAACATTGAAACCTACATTGGAAATCCTGCAGTTCTGTTACCAAATCACTTGCACAACTACGAGGGTTGATCAAAAAGTTAGTACTGTATACTATGACTTCTTATATCACTGCCCAAAGAAATGTAAATTGTTATATTCATTAATTAGAGCACGTGACACCCCGTGAAAATCAACAGGTGTGAGCAAAATCACAAAATGGAAGCAGTAGAAGCTCGTGCTGTGATAAAGTACCTCCATAAAAAGGGGATGACTCCCAAGGAAATCCATGAAGACATGATGAAGACATTTGGTGATGACTGCCCTTCTTATTCCACTGTAAAGAAGTGGGCTGCCAGCTTCAAGCGCGGCAAGGAGAGCTTTAGAGATGAACCCAGGTCGGGACGTCCCAAAACAGGCACCAGTGACGATCAAGTAGAGGCCATCCATCGCATGGTAGTGAAGGACAGACGTGTGACCGTCCGACATGTAGCAAAGTCTTTGGGCATAAGTTTTGGCTCAGTTCACAGAGTTTTGACGGACAACTTGGGGATGAGCAAAGTGTCTGCAAGGTGGGTGCCTAGAATGCTGTCTGCACTTCAGAAGTTGAACAGGTTGGAGATGTCAAGGGCACTGTTGGCCCGATTTCAGTCCGATCCAGACAATTTCCTCAAAAGATTTGTCACCCAGGATGAGACATGGATTCACCACGTTGACCCTGAATCGAAACAACAGAGCAAACAAGTGTCATCTGTTGGCAAGGTCATGGCCTCTGTGTTCTGGGACAGTGAGGGGGTCATCATGATTGACTACCTGCAAAGGGGTAAAACCATCAATGCTGAACACTATGCGGCAAAATTGCGACAGTTAAAGGCAGCGATTGAAGAGAAAAGGAGTGGAAAGCTAGAAGCTGGCGTGTTGTTGCTTCAGGGCAGTGCAGCTGTCCACACAGCACAGGTGTCAGTGGCTGCAGCAAACGAATGCGGCTTTGAACTGTTACCTCACCCCTCCTATTCACCTGACCTAGCACCGTCGGACTTCTACCTCTTTCCTAAGCTAACGTCCCACTTGCATGGCAAACGTTTTGATGGCGATGATGCCGTCATCAATGCAGTTGAGGCATACTTGGGGGCTCAAGATGCAAGCTTCTTCCACCAGGGGATAGCAATGCTGGAACAGCGCTGGACCAAGTGCATTGAAGTCAGAGGGGACTATGTTGAAAAATAGTGTAAGGAAAATTTTTCTGCCAGGACGAGGCCAAGAACTTTTGGTTCAACGGTTTCAACCCTCGTACTACTATTTTAGTATCATTATCTTCAAGCTGTCTCTGTCAGTCATAGTAGTAATTTGACTGCTGAATACAATGTATTTAACTTTTCTAGTCATTGTGTGTAATGTTATATGAAGGTCACTAGCTCTGAGTTATCACCAACTTAGGACGGAATACTCCATTCTTGATGTCATGACACAATCATGCCCACATTCACTAATACATGTACAAGTACTAGTAGATAGGAAAAACATGAAAGATAGTTTTTAAGGGGTATATAATATAAATTTAAGGGTCAAATACTGAGCAGATGAAAAATTATACCACCTCCATCCAAGAAAAGTTAGAAGTATTGTCAATTTTACAATAATTGTACACTAATAATTGTGAACTGTATACAGAAATAAGTGCAAAAAATGTTAGTAGTTATTGATGTAATTAATATACTAGTAATTGAAAAAAAAGATGTACTTAACTCATCAAAACCTTGCAAATGAATATTTAGCCTAACTTTTTGTATGTAATACTGTTTAATGTTGACATGTTTTCGTGATTAATCATAGTAGTTATATAGAAGTGGATGTAAATAGCAGTTAATAATATGATGTATTTTATAATGTGTGTCTCCAGGAAGAGTTGTGGTGTGTTATGTATGTCACTAAATTCCTTAAACAAACAAGATGTGAATGATTGACCAATAGTTTCTCTGTGCTGTTGCTCGGCTTGCCTAAGTTGTGTGAGACCCACCTGGTAAATATTGTGTAAATGATAATGTGGACTGTTTTACTTTAATTTCCAATAATTTCAGGTGAGTTGCAAACTCTAGTACATCATTGTGAAAGAAAGGAGTGACAGATAACAATGCTGTAGATCTAATCACCTTTATCCAACTTTATTACCTCCATGAAAAATGGAGGTATAGTTTTTGGCGTGTCTGTGTGTGTGTGTCTGTCTGTGTGTGTGTGTCTGTCTGCCTGTGTGTGTGTTTCCGCAACTTTGTAGTCAGCATAACTTAAGAACGCCTTTATGGATTGTGATGATATTTGGTATGTTGGTAAGTCTTAGGAAGACTAAGGTGGCAGGCAGAACATCAATACCAATTATGAAAATGATGACCTAATTTGCATAAATAATGTGAAGAGTATGTGACCTCTTATTGGTGAAAGATGGGAATTTTATACCTTGTGACATGTGTAAGTTACTTAAAGGTTAACACCACTATGCATATATTATGTTAATGTAGAGGTCATTTGCATATTTAATGAGGACTTGTTGAAATGAAGTGTGACAAAGGAGAGGAATTTCACACGAAAAATATTGTCATTTGAATTTAGAAAACCATAAATTAAACTAGATCATGCTAATTACAACATCATCAATGAGACAAATAAAAAACATTTATATTTCATGGAGGTATGAGATCTCCGAATTCTGTTTAGTGTTTGTAAAAATAATCTGTAGGCAGCCGCCCAAAATCAAAATGTAATTCGTAATACATTAGCCATAATGCGTCATTGTTCCTATTATCGACTCTGAGAATTTAACGTAATTCGTAATCGGCAGCGAAAATTTTGCGTAATCCATAATCACAACTCCCCCATGCAGACCCCCATATATAGCCTTGATGTACATCGTGTTAATCTCCAAGCAGATCTTTTGGTGGGGGTAAGACAGTATCAAATTGGCCAAGTGGGTGGGGAAATGGATACAGACTGGCCAAGTTGATACTGTCTTACCCCCACCAAAAGATCTGCTTGGAGATTACATCGTGTCACACTGTATGTTACGAACAATTTTTTTTTTTTCATATTTGGCAAGTTCTTAAAGAAACTAAAACTCTGGATCCTTAAACCTCCTTATATCAATGTCTAACATTCCAGACAGTTAGATATGAAATCAGACCATTTTACACTTGGAGTATTGTAAATCTTAAGTGTTTAATCCATCACACATGATGCACAGTGTCAATCATGTGGTCATGTATCACTTTAAGAATGATATAGTTTATGCTAGCAGTTGGCTACATTTTCAAACATGGCACTGTCATCATAGATGTAGCAATTTTTTCTTTGGTTAGTATACTCTGACAATATTACTAGTAGGTCTTTAGCAGTACCATAACAAAGAATGGCCGGCTATGTTGTCTATATATGCATATGCAATCATGCCGGCTATATATGTTGTCTATATGCAATCAGAAATTATCCCATAAAAGATCCCAAAGACCCCCAAACCCCGAGTTTTTGGCATGCTATGGAGGCTACTGAACCCATAACACCAGGAAACACTAGTACTGATCAAATATGATAATCTTCAATTTACCAGTAATATATTGACGTACCCCAAATGAAATTAGAAACCATTTATAAACAGTAACCAAAGTGCTAGGAAAAAGCCAGAATTTGCGTCTGCGACAAACTTCAGCATGTTTATGTTTATGTTTATTAGGAATCTCCATTTATTTAGTAATACAATATTTGTCTACTAATCTTCCTGGAGTCCTTTAATATTACATTTAAAAGGAATCATAATCAATTACAAGTTAACTTAATAGCTACAATTACAACATGTATATACAACAACATCAGCTTAACTAACAGTATAACTTACAATAACTATCTTAACACAATCTACATGTAGGCCCACTTGCTTATATATACTAGTACACCAATTAAAGCTAGCTTAAATTGCATACTTAAAATACAGTGGAGAGGTCAGAGGTCCCTATTTACACCATGTATACTACCACCATGTGTCGAGAGGCATGTGGTTGTACTTGTTACTCCATACTTTGATATTTTCTTTGAATGTGCGTTCGCTTCCTGATGTCATATCGGATGGTAGATTGTTATATGCTTTTATGCTTCTATATACAAATGTTTTGGCTTTAGTTTTGGGTTTGTCTAGGGCAAACGCCCCTCTTTGTGCAAGTCTTGTATGGTGTCTATGTGTGGTTTCTATTTTCTGCAAGTGTTTGAAGATATATTTAGGTTGCTCTTTAGTTACAATTTTGTGGAATGCACAAAGAGTACCGGTGAAAAGTCTCTGGTTGACTGTTTGCCAGTTTAACTGGGAGTGTAGGTCATTAAGTCTGGCATCAAAAGTGGCGTTTGTGGCTAAACGAGCTGCACGATTTTGGATCACTCTTACGGTAGTTTATCTAGGTGTGTTTGCGGTGCAGATGAAAGAAGAGGTGAACAATAGTCAAGGTGTGACAGCACAAGGCTTTGGATAACTGTCCTTAAGATGTTTGAGGTGAAGCATGTCATCGCGATATCGCGTAAAGCGTCACCACCCCACCCCCCCTCCAAACTGTCTAGACTGGACCGGTTTTTCCACCAACCCCACAAGAAATTAGATACAGGAAGTTTGAAAGGCTATGTAGAATATGGAAGTATTATAAGGTTTACATGTACATGAGGATTTTTGGTTCTTCAGGATTACTTTTGTGTGTAGATGTAACTGCAATAAAGCTTTGAGGCTTTGAGTTTTCTTTTAATAAATTGAACGGTGTAAAATACGGGGAAATAAATCTACGTACATTGTGAATCTTTCAAGTGAATCATTATGTACAATCTCTAAGGTACATTAATTCCTATGATAAGATTTTGCACACAACTCTACATAGCAACCTACAGGCGGCCAAATGCGTAAGTCAATAGAGCACACATCAGAGAGAAAGTTGTGGACATCACAAAGTGCGATGCCGCTCCAGTAGGCACGCACTGATCCCTCCGACGAGTGGGACAACCCCTCAGTGCCAGTGCGTTTCGAGCGACACCTAGCGGAAGTGTGAAGTCCGGCAGCCCGCACGTCCGAGCGACCATGTCCAGGTTGTCCTGTGTAGCCGGGAGGGCGGCGGTCTGCAAGTTCGCTTCGAAAGGAACAAGGACGCCTTCTTTTTGCCATTTCAGGAGGAGGATGTATTCCTCATCTATGTCAACTATGATGTTTTTCAAAGAAAAATTTGTTAATTCAAAGAAACAAAAAAGAAGTTAAATCAATTTTTACCCAGCCTACTTTTGTCTACATGGCTAGAAGGCTACAGATACCCAATAACCCAAAGATCAATTTACCGCATATCAAAGCTTGCGTATCTAGAAGTCTGTAATAATGAGGCAGAGCATACCTTCTGTGCTACTACATGGGTAAAGGATCCCCAACTCCACCACCGTTATGTTGTATTGCAGTGGACCTCCCTTCAGCACGCAGTACACCTCAAGAAGTCCAGTGTATGTCTGCGGCCACATTTCCTCATAACCTGCTCAAATTAGGGTGACAAAGAGCAAAATAGGAAAATCAAGAAGCAAATAAATGGGACTGTCAACTTAGACTTGATCAGGTTAAATTTCTCTACTAATAATAAGGTAGTATGGAAGTGTGTCTGAGGACTTTGGGAACATCTTAAAAATACCAATTAGAGTTATGCATGGTCATTAAATTTTTTGTAAGTACCTTAGTGTATGGCATACTTTATGCAAATTTGTATGACGTGACCATGACGTCATCTTGAGTTATAAGCCCTGTCCAATTTTTAGAAAAAATAATTTCCCTGGCCAGGCCTTGTTTTTCATTAGCCATATTTCATACAGAGGTACACAATAGTTATATTACGCCTAATGATGTCTACATCCAGATCAACAGATTTCTATCAGTTTTTCCACGAGTTTTATTTTATGTTAAGTGTACTTACCAGGTGTCTGGGTCTTGTTCAACACTTTAGCATGGACCACGATTTCTGCAGCTGGCTGCATCAGCCGCTGCGTAAACGGGATGGGACGCCAGTCAATCTTGGTACACTGTCCGTGCGTATTCGGAACGAACAGAAGGACAACAACGCCGCCGACAGCAAGCAGAGAGAAAGACGACATTTTTTGCTCAGCTTCGATCGTTTCGATAACGATTTGTCGATTTTTTTGGCAACTGCAAGGAACGACAACGGATACATGGTCAAACTCCATAGTGTTAACTAGAGCAAGAAGTTAATGATCAACATCCGAGGCTCTTGACTCGGTTGCTTCGAGAAGATATTGTACAACTGGAGTTCCACGATCTCGTACCTTAGCCAAATGATGCTAGTCTTTAAGACT